GTGTGACTGCAGTGCCCTCTGACTAGGGTGGTGTGTGTGTGTGTGTGTGTGTGTGTGTGTGTGACTGCAGTGCCCTCTGCTGGGTTGGAGCCAGCACTCCTCTGATGAGAATGTGGATATGTTGGGGTGGAGGGGAAGGGGGAACCATGCACCCCAAGTTTCAGCCCAGGAGCCTGGACTTGAACCCTGGGCCATATGAAAAGCTAAGGAGGAGTTTTGAGGCTGGAAGCAGGCAGGGAGGCCAGGCACCCAGCAGCCTGGCACCCCCACTCCCATGTGGAGACACAGCCCTGTCTCCTTAAGTGTATGTGTCTCAGGCACACACCCACTCTCCACGCTGAGCCGTGTTGCCCACACCACCTGGCACCGCCACGCCTCAAAAGAGGGACAGTGTTTGGGATTCTTGTGCTCCTGGTAGCCTTGACCCCAGGGGTCACGGAAGCAGCAGGGGTCACGGAGTAGATGCCTGTGGCAGGATGCCAGCTGCCCAGCTTGGGCCAGAGCGGGAGGGGTCACATGACGGGGTGGGAACCACTCCTGACCGCGTGTACTGCCCTCCTGCTGCAGAGTTCACTAGGGTCCACGGAAACCCAGAAACAGATACAATATAGCCTTGTACCCCCAGCACCTCCCCCCGATTCTGCAGGGACCTGCCTAAGGGAGCGTCGTGGTGAGGGGTCTGGGGGGTGGCTGCCGGGAGGCAGTGGCCTGACTTGCCTCCTTTTCTCTCTCCAGGTCACACCCCAGGGGGGTGCAGGGACTTTGCCGTTGTCCCAAGCTTCCAGCAGTCTGAGCACAACAGGTCAGGGAGGGCGGCGGCGACGGACGGTGCAGGGGGCCGTGGGAGGAGAGGGCCGGGGCTGGAACCTCAGGTTCTCCTTGGTTCCGGGTGCCTGTGGGTCTGGGGTGAACTGGGTGTGGAATGGGCGGGTGGGCGGCCCACCTCAGTTCTCACTAGCGCAGCTCGGCCATGCACCCCGGTCGCGTTTTCATTGCGAAGAGCATCATCAGTCACTGCCCGTCACAGCCAGGGGCCCCGTGACCTAGTGGGTGACAGAGTCAGGCTGCTAACAGCAAGACCGGCAGTTTGAAGCCACCGACCGATCGGAGGGGGAAAGAGGACGCTTTCTGCTCCCGTAAAGAGTGGCGTTGTGGGAAACCCACAGAGGCAGTTCTACCCAGTCTGACAGGGTCGCTCTGACCCGACGGACGGACGGGAGGGCGTTGTCACTGAAAAGCTGTGCACACTCAGGAAATGACTCTGCCTCTCTGAGCCTCCGTTTTTGTAAAGACATCATGAATGTCTCATAAGTGTTAGCAGTCAACCCAAAAGACAGATGGACTTTGGAGTTCACAACGGGACCCTGTGGAGCTCAGCAGTCGGAGCTTCAACTGACCCTGGGGATGGCACGGGGCCAGGCAGCACTGCCTGCCACCCTGGGGTGCTTGGGTTCACCGTGAGTTGGGGGCTAACTTGCCGGGGCTAACTACCAGGTAGCACCACGATTCAGCACTCTGCTGCTCACGGAAAGGTCAGCGGTTCAGGTCTCCCAGGAGGAAAGGCCTGCAGTTTATTGTCATCAAGGGAACAGCCCGAGGCAGCTCCACTCTGTCATCGCTGCCGTGGAGGAGATGCCAGCTCGCGGCGACCATAAAGGACAGAGTAGAACTGCCGCTGTGGGTTTCTGGGACTAACTCTTTACGGGACTCCTCTCTCGCGCACAGAGCAAGTAACTGTGGTTTCACACCGCGGACCCTGAGGTTAGCAGCCCACTAGGTGACCCGCAACGGTACCAGGGCTCCTTCTATAAAGCGACTAAAAACAAACAAAAACCTCACTGCCCTCGAATCGGCTCTGACTGAGCAGCACGAAAGGACAGGGTAGAACTGCCCTGTGGGTTTCCCAGACTGTCCATCTCTATGGACGTAGAGAGCCTCATCTTTCCCCTGCAGAGTCCCTGGTGGTTTTGAACTGCTGACCTTGTGGTTAGCAGCCCAACCTGTAACCCACTCTGCCACCAGGGCTCTTCAATTGTGTCATAGAGCTTGCCCACCCAAACCAAAAAACGTACTGCCATCAAGTCAATTGCAATTTATAATGCCACCTGTGTACAGGATTTCCAAGGTGGTACATCTATAGCAACAGACAGCTCATCTTTTCCCTTGGAGCAGCTCGTAGGTTTGAACCACGATCTCATGATCAGCAGTCCGATGCTTACCAGACGTGGCCACGAGGCCCCCCTGTAGACGCACTACTAGTTGGAAATCTCATCAGCTCCTAACAGCATCTATGAAGGGACTTCTAAAACTCCATGAAAAAATTCCATTAGCTCTTCATTCCATTCTCTCCACGGACTTTTTGAAGCTCTTTGACATGTCTACCAGGGTTCCAGGTGGCATAGTGGTTATGCGTTGGGCTGCTAGCCTCAAGGTCAGGAGTTCAAAACCATCAGCTGTCCCACGGGAGAAAGGTGAGGCTTTCTACTCCCATGAAGACTGAAAGTCTCAGACACCCATGGGGGCAGGTCTACACTGTCCTATAGGATCAGAAAGGGCTAGGACTCTGAAGCAGTGATTGAGTGAGTGATATGTCTGGTTGTGTTATGTATTCATTCACAAGAGTGTGCACACACTTGTGTGTGATGCCCCTCCCCTCTGTCAGGGATGGGGTGTGTTCAACACCATATGTAGACTGCATGGAGGTTTATAAAGTAGCCAGGAGCCCTGGTGGTGTCGTGGTTAAGTGTTCAGCTGCTAAACAAAAGGACCATGGTTTGAACCCATCAGCCTCTTCCTGGGAGAAGAATGTGGCAGTCCGCTCCTGTAAATATTTCCAGCTTTGGAAACCCTATTTACAGGGTCACTCTGAGTCTGAATCACCACTCTGGCTGGCAGTGGGTACAAAGTATTTCGTGTGAGCCTGGCTTTGTTCTAAGCTCTGCATAAAACACGTTCATTCATTTGTGCCTCCCTCTCCCCTCCGCCCTTCATGATACCAACCGACTGCCACCGAGTGGAGTCTGACTCACAGCCACCCTGTAGGACAGAGCATAACTGCTTCCTTCAGTTTCCGACGCTGGAAATCTTTACAGGAGCAGAAAGCCTCGACTTTCTTCCACAGAGCAGCTGGTGGCTTCAAACTGCTGACCTTGTGGTTAGCCCAGCAACATGTAACCCACTCCGCCACCGGGGCCCCTCCCCTCCCCTTTCTGACCCTCCTCTTCAGAAGAAGGAGCCCTGGTGGCCTAGTGGGCCACTTGTGGGTCTGCCAACGTCAGGGTCAGCCGTTCGAAACGACCAGCCGCCCTAAGGGTAAAAGATGAGGCTCTGCTCAGAAAGCCACGGGCGCAGTCCTGCAGTTAGGAGTTGGCCTGGTCTTCCCGCATTGGGCGTTTTCCCCCATGAAGAGGTGAAGGCACCTGCCCGGGGATGGGAGCCGGGACCGTGCCCCCCTGCGCCCCCTGCTGGCGGCCCCAGCCCGTCCTGCGCGTGCGCGCGCGCACCCTCGCCTCTAGAGGGCGCCACTGGCCCGGCCCGCGCCCGCCCTCGGCGTCGCCGGGCTCTGGGGGGACGGGGAGGACGCCGCCCGTCTGCCCTGAGGGGGACACAGCCCGCCTGCCCCCCGGGGGCCGGCGCAAGCTGAAGGCCGCCTCTCTTGTCTCTCTCCGCCAGTTACTACCTTATCCTCAGCTGTGGGGACGCTCCACCCCAGCC